CTGCCCTTGATAAATACCCATGTACATTTATATGCACCTTGGAATCTGATATAGACCCAGCTGGCGTATAATGATGGATGGTTACAAGTGATGTGATCTATGTGTATAATATCATCATAATAGACCAATTACCAATCATTCACCTTCACCGAACTCAAACAAGTGTTCTCATTCAAATAATGTGCTGCTATGAAACTACTTTTCCATCAAAATTGGTGTTTCGAGATGATTTGAAAATTGGTAATTGACCCAAGAAGTTCAAAACATTTCCAGATTTTGAAACTGATTTTTAGAACGAGCTCATTCAGAATTGAAACCATGTATTGATTTCAAATTGTTGGCTATTCCCAAACTTTATTGATGTTTACTTTGTTTTAACTTTTTTCCTCAATTTATCGTCTTTTGACAGAATTTTTATAAAATTCACCAGACCTTATCCAATGTTTATTTTTGATTTACATTCTTTCTCTTTATTTTATTTTTCAGTTTTTTATTATTTCTACATTATTTGCAAGAGAGAGTAAGGGTATGATGATATTTTATCCCGAGTCATTTAATTTTATATAAAGTTATGATAGGTTTAAAGCAGATATGAAATGGTATTTTTAACCTAAAGGAATCAATAGACTTTTTTGATAAATGTATTTGAACATGTTTTCTCATCAGTATTGTGAAAATTATTTCACTCTAACGATCATTATAGCTGCTTAATAAGCAATATTCGAATAGGTTGTGACGTTATTGGCCCCCACGTGATCTCTCACTGGCCCCCACGTGGCCCGTTTTGGTCCATTAAATCATGACGCCATTATGCCAAGATGTTTTGTCATTTGTTTACACAACAATCATATTGTTGTGACGTCGTGATTACCAAGGAACCAAAAAACCAAAACTATATATTATGTATGACGTTATTAATCACGTGGGGGTGGGGGCCAATCTGATTTATCAGTTAATTTTATTACGTTATTTATGACCATTAACAGTTATCTAACATTTCTTTTATAATGGCTATCGCAAGAACTCTACGTTGGGCTTATAATGAAGAAAACCACATTTATGAAGCTGCAAGTTGAGAAAACCTATTTCAGTTGTCCTTTAATAACCATGGACTTACAAGTAGAGCTCGGACTGGTACTCAGGGACAAGTCAGGTGCAAAATGTGGCCGAGTTTGGTTACATACGATCCGAAAACGGAACCCATTTCCATTCTAAATAATCACAGTTCTATTCCTGGACATTGCAAAAACATCTAGAAAAAAAATATGAGCCATATCTCATCTAAAAACGCTGATAATCACTTCTTTTTGTGCTTTTATCTTATGTTTCAACATATTTACGATACCCAAAAGTAAACAACAAGTTTTCTCATTTTTTCATTGAAAATAGGAATTTTGAAGCAAGTTTGACCAGGTCTTGACATATGAGTTTAATTGAACTCTTGTACATAAAAGTTCGGTAATTCGGATTCAGATTTATCTTGGTCAAAACGGTTTGCAGTCGGGAATTTCATGATCGGTCCGAGCTCTACTTACAAGTCAATGTTTTTAAACAAAACTTTAATTTTTGATATTTTTGATAATATTTGTTTGAAGTGACCTCCTTCAGTGCTCAAACTTCATATAATTTTCAAATATTTTCTTTAATTTTTTAAGTTTGTTTTTGTTGTTTCAATACTTTGGTTGCATCCTAAAGTACATTAAGCCAGGTAAAAGTCAGGGACTTCTGAATTAAAATGTGGTCTATTTTTATGGCACTTGTGCTTACATATTTGTGGCAACTGACATTGGATATTTACTGGCACTTTGAAATTGAACCTTACCCAAACTTAGTATCAGTTGTATTTTAAAGTTAGTGCCCTCACCTCCTGTATGAACTCAAAACTCCGTGACCTATTTAAACTCAGGGATCACAATTCAAGGACAGTGAACTTAACTCAACCTTGACAATGACCATCTATCATCTATGGTGTTTGATGGTCAGTGATATGGTGATGATGGGGTGTTTATATGGTATTTAATGTTTAGAAAGTAACAAAAATATCTTTGAAATTATCAAAGTGATCATTGTCTTTTTATGTCCCCACCACATAGTGTGGGGCCATATTGTCGGCCTAGGCGCGTCCGTCTGTCTGTCCGTCTGTCCGTCTGTCTGTCCGTACGTCCGGCAGTTTTCTCCAAAACCGCTACAGATATCACCTTCAAATTTTCAGGGATAACTTATGAGTGCATACAGATGTGGATGAAAAAAAATTAACTCGATACCTACTTCCTGTCGGCCATTTTGAAGTCAAATGCTAAAATCCTTGTCTGCAAACTTTAAGAAAAACTGCTTCACAGTTGCTTTTAAAACTTTAACATCTTGTTCAGCTCACTTCATTCTAGATCTGATTAGGTTTTGGACCTGCTAGCTCAGTCATGTCAGCCATTTTGAATGTCTTAAGAAAAGTTAGCGCGCGATAATACTTTGTATCATATTGAATGGTGTTTTTGAGTTTTCATACTTTAACTATTTAGTAGCTTTATAAATAATTTCAGATGTACTTTGCTGTAAAAGCCTACTTTATTGTTAACAGTAGTTATATGTGATAATTTTGTAAAAAGAAATCAGCAAAAACTCATAAGGACTTTTTTATTGTCGGCCATTTTGGATTTTTCGGTCCTAAAATCTTGTCTGTGAAGTCTTGTCTGCGCGTTTTCAGGTGAACCGTTTGGTGGATCAATTTCAAATTTTCAGGGATGATTCTTAGTATAAAAATCTAGATCTCATTAGTTTTTTGGCATTCTGGGTAAATGTCAAGGCAGCCATTTTGGATTTTCCGTCCTAAAATCTTGTCTGTAAAGTCTTGTCTACTCGTTTTCAGGTGAACCGTTTCGTAGATCAATTTCAAATTTTCAGGAATGATTCTTAGTATGAAAATCTAGAACTGATTAGTTTTTTTGCATTCTGGGTAAATGTCAAGGCAGCCATTTTGGATTTTCCGTCTTAAAATCTTGCCTGTAAAGTCTTGTCTACGCGTTTTTAGGAGAACGGTTTGATAGATCAATTTCAAATTTTCAGGGATGATTCTTTGTATGAAAATCTACATCTGATTACTTTTTTTGCATTCTGCGTAAATGTCAAGGCAGCCATTTTGGATTTTCTGACCTAAAATCTTGTCTGTAAAGTCTTGTCTACCCGTTTTCAGGTGAACCGTTTGGTAGATCAATTTCATATTTTCAGGGATGATTCTTAGTATGAAAATCTACAAACAGATTAGTTTTTTGACATTCTGGGTAAATGTCAAGGCAGCCATTTTGGATTTTCCATCCTGAAATCTTGTCTGTAAAGTCTTGTTTACATGTTTTCTGGTTAACTGTGTGACGGATCAATTTCAAATTTTCAGGGGTGGTTCTTAGTATGAAAATCTAGAACTGACTAAATTTTTGGCATTCTGGGTAAATTTTAAGGTGGCCACTTTGGATTTTCCGTCCTCAAATTGTGTTGGTAAAGTCTTGTCTACTCATTTTCAGGATAACCATTTCACGGGATCACCACTTGGTGGGGACATTTTGTACACATTTGTGTTCTTGTGTAGAGTTTATTAGAGATTTTATTGCCAATCGGGATCAAAGACCATGATACCATGTTTAGTTTCTACAATTGGATGTTTTTGGAAAATATGCCAACTTAAAATAGCTTTTTAAGAAAAAATGTACAAAAATGACAGCAAATATCAAGCATTGAAAAGGATTGGCAGTTCACCAAGTGGTCGTATTAGCATATCGAATCTCAGTATTCTGAATTATTTACTAATTCATTGTTATAAAACTTTTTCAGATTCCATTAATTGCTAAATGTCATTTCCAGTAATTGATATTGATTGACCTTAATGAATAAGAAAATATAGGCTTGTGTTGCAAGTTCACAATTTACTGAAGTTGAGTGGAGAATTCTGAGTATAATTACACCTTTATTCTTGAATACCAAAAAAACTGAAGTACAGAAAAACTTGTCCAAGTGGAACATGTTTGTCACCTTTATAAAGTGTTCTTCGAAGGTGTTCCACTTATAAAGGTTCATTTTACATTAAGTCATTGGTCTTGTGACTCTGAAAAGTGTTCTACTTACAGAGGTGTTCGACTTATAAACATGTTCTACTTTACGGGTTTTACTGTGTACTAATACCCTGATGGTGGAAAAAAAAATTTACCTATTTTTTGTCTCACCTTTTAGAGCATCATATTTATAATATTATACTACTGGTTATATGATTCAGGTATTCCTATTGAAAGAGCTACTGTTGACTCATACTATAAAATGATAAAAAAAAATATTGTTCTATTTCTCATCTTGATCCACCATGGTATGTCATTAAAATAAAAGGAATAGACTATACATTTGCGATGCAAGTGTCTTGAAATGGCATGTGTGGGCTGTTATAAATGAGGAAGTGATTTTGTGAGTCCGCCAAAAAATTTAAACTTCAAAATTGCTCTTGTTAATGATTAATTTAAAACAAGTTGACATTTCTGTATAACTAGAGTCACCATGATATAAAATACATATATATTTATTCTTCAAGTACATTCACACCCCTTGGGGTCAAGTACGTGTACAAACAAAAACAATTATAAAGGAAAGAAAAAGAAGACATTTACATGTAAAAAAATACATATCATCCTTCTATAAACAAACATCAAATAGATGAAATAATATACAGTATTTAGAGATAAATGGGGATCTAATCCTTACCTGCAAATAACCTGTTTAAATACCCATTACTAATACATGATTCAAATTATGTAACACGCGCCTGCATTTATAGCGTCAAAATTATTTGTTTTAGTATCTGTATTGTAGAATCTGGCTGAGCTTCCCTATATATGTTTTCAATACAGATTCAAGGTTTAACAGTGGTGCAAAAAGTTTACTGCCCATATAAATAGAATTAAAGCTCTTAAAGTAAAACTTCTTCCCAAATTTTTCGTAAATATCTCAGTTCTTTTGATACATTTCAGATTTGAGAAAGGCAAACTGTACACATATATTGGTGAAGTGGTGGTATCCGTGAACCCGTACCGTCCAGTGAACATATATGGCAAAGATATTGTACAGGCGTATCAAGGGCGAGAAATATATGAAAATCCACCCCACATCTTTGCTCTGGCAGATGCTGCATATAAATCCATGAAACGTCGTTCTAGAGACACTTGTATTGTTATATCAGGTAAGATTGGCAAAATACCTTGAATCATGCCATCTAAGTGACATCACAGTGGATTCATGATGTCATGAACTGATGACAACAAATTTTAGAATGATTTAAATTTGTATATAAAGCATAAAATGAAATTAAATGGTAAAAGTGAAACTTGATCTTTTTCATGAATTTGAGAAAATAAAGTGTTTTACAGTATAGTGTTTTATTTGATGATTTTACAATCTAGATTTTTGTTATTAGAATTGGGAGAAATATTTAAATAAGACCTCCAATTTTATCTAAATATATCTAAAACAATTTTTGAATAATACGTCATGACAAATGATATTTGTATTTTTAAATTGCATAGGACCTTTAAGTGTTTCTTCAGTTTTTATGCCTCCTCGTCCCCTGTTCTTGAATCATAAATCGTCCAAATGCTGATATCACATAAATTAAAGTCATGAAAATGACCATATATATAAATTCTGATGATTTTTATATTGGCAAGTTCAGAGGTGTAAATGAAATGTGACAAAGAATCCAAAGTTCTTTAACCTAACATGAAAACCCATGTTATTTTATCAATGTGTAATTCAAAACTGAGTTCATATTTTTCAAATGTTAACCTTTGACCCATATGTTTACGACTCCCCTGTAATAAAACAATATCATGTAGCTGCATATCTAAATGCATACTTCTGATAAAATATTGAAGTGCTAGGTATCATGCCTAGATCTACCATGTAAACTGTGATATATAATGACCATGTATGATCAGGGTAGTATCCCTGCCTCAATATACCATGTTATAGCACATTGTAGATATTGGTTACAGCAAGGGGCCCCAGCCCCAGAAATTCTTTATTGTTCATTCAGCCAAACAAAGGGCCCTTTATTCCCACACACAGTCTACAGTATATATGTAGTATCTTGGGGTGTGGGTATTACATGTCTATGAAATCAGTTTGTAAACATGGTTTGTGAACTGAGACATTATTCTTATCTTGAGGTACATGTCAAGAGAATAATAATTAATGTCCATAAAAGTGGTTATCTGTGTATGTTTGTAATATCTGTGATTTTCATGAAAATAAATCATCTCTCTCAGATAGATATTTACCTATTGTACATTGAGGATATAGTGCCCTGCAAGTGTACTCCTCCAGCCGTATGACACCTTGATGCCAGAACCATCCAAGGGTATCTCACTTCATTCCATAATTTTCCTGAGCTGAAAATAAATGAATGAATAATGAATGAAAAAATGAAGAAACTTTCTTTTCCAGTTTTTATAATTTCTGTGATCTATCCACTAATATGTTAAACAAAATGAGTTAGATGTGCTAAAAGACATTTAACACATAGATGTTTTTGAACTTTGATAAGGTAAGTTGATATGGTTTTGCCCTATAATCTTAGGTCACTTTTTCTGTGAATAACAACAACTCAAATGTTGCTTTAATTTGTACCAAGATTTTGTTTTAAGTCTTATATGAACAGTTTTCACAATTTCTGAGCCAAGTACCCATGGTATTTTAGTTCAGATTTAACCTTTGTACTTCCTTCTCAGTAAAATATCAAAAATCTTGCCTGAGTCCATACTCACCCCCTCCCCCCCCTATTATCTATTCCCTAGCCAAGACCTGTAGTTGATAGGGAATAAGGGGGTTTATATTAGTGCTCATGGTGCTACACTACCAACTTAGCACAAGTGATTCTGGTACATGCTACATGTATTTGTATTAATTGCACCCACGCAATAGAAGCCATTCACAGTTCAAACTCAAACTCACTTTAGTCTTTATCATTATAGGAATTTATTAATGAATAGATAGGTTTACCAGAAATGAATGTGATTTTGAACTTTTGAATGAATATTGGAGAACCACTAAATACATTAACGTATAAGAATTTGTATTTTTCATGCAACATTTATTAATGGCCATTTATGAATTCAAAACATCATTATTTTAATAAACATGTTTGGTTAAGTTCATTTGCCTCTGGTCAAATTGAATTGATTACTATTTTTAATAATTATTAATGTGTCATACTGAACTAAAAACTGGTTTATACTACCGTAGCTGCTAGTCTTTGGGTGGAATTTGTTTCTCAATATCCTAACGCCTTAATTTAAGATGTTTGTTGTTTTTCATGAGTTCGTGAGATGTCAAATTAGGAGCCAACATCACTTTGGAAGACTATTTATAGTTATCCAGGTCATAGACCTAGTAGAAAATAATGTATGCTGGGGAAAGGATCACCGTGAGATATCACAGCCCCCTTCTCCTATCATGGCAGAAATGGTCTGAGTATCAGGATGGGAAACGGATATTTTCTTGGTTTATATTGGTTAAAATAAAAACCTGATAAAACAAATAGCCCATCAATTAATAATCCAAAATAGAAAATTGTCAAAGCCTTTAAATCAGTTAACATACTTTCAAACCATAATAACCACATAGATACATTCACTAAAATAAGTCAATTTTAAATTATAGATATGAATAACAGGCATGGAGGAAAACCTGTAGATATTTTATGATACATGTATCAGTACTAATCATGAGTAGTACATATCGTCTCCATGTTATTATCAAAGATATGTTGACATTATAGGTTGAGAGAACTATGTTGATAACATTTCTTATTAAATGTCAATCTGGGCGTTCTGGTCATCAAATATTCCATGTTATTTTTGATTATGCTGTCTTCCTTTATTACTGTACCCCCGGGACTGTACCCTCTGAAGCAGTTGTTCATTAATATACTGTAGATGGTAGCTTTGTCAGGAAAAATGGTGAGGCAAATGTAAATAGGCGAGGCAAATGTAAATAGGTGAGGCAAATGTAAATAGGTGAGGCAAATGTAAATAGGTGAGGCAAATGTTAATAGGTGAGGCAAATGTAAATAGGTGATGCAAATGTAAATAGGTGAGGCAAATCTTGGCTAAAGGGCGTCATTTTAGGGTTTATTTACACATTTATTTTTTGTGAGGCATTTACCTCATCTGCCTCATGCCTCGATACGTCCATGATGGTGGAGTTTGTAGCTGATCCATTCTTCTACATCTTGTGTGACATTTTATAATTAAAGAAAAACATCATCATTTGTCTTTCTTATAATGAAGCAGTTAGAGAGTCTGAAGGTTGCAAAGTTCGCTTTATCCTGATATGCTCTCCTGCTCCCCTACACAAAATGTAATCATTCTTTAAGCTTATTAAGAGTACAATATTCATATGCTATTATGATTTAATTTGTAAGGGCAGATATATTTCAAGTTTGGAAGTATTTATTATCAGGGAGTCTTCAAAATAACAGTACAAATTGCTCTACTCAGAAATGTAAATAGAGAAACAGATAAAGATTTCTATTAATATTAGAACTTTAAGTGTCTTCTTTATCAAGTACACAACTTAGATCAAAGCCAAACCTTGGACTAAGGTAGGCAGAGAGACTATCATGACTTTTAGACCTGTATAGGCATCCATGCCTGCATTTGAGGGATATTTTTTACGAGGATATTGATATCTTGATATTGTTGCTATAAATCATATGTACATGTAAACGGTTTAGTATGGTCAAAATATATCATTCAAAATGTAGTAAGTGGTGTTATTACCCTGCGTGCAGAGTCTAGTTAAACTGCACTCTGCCTAGTAGAGACCATATTACAGTTTAGTAGCCCCGCCCCCACTACGGGTACCGGTGACAGTTTGGGTAGTAAATCACTTCTGACATATGCGCTGACCTTTCTTCCAACAATCAGCGAGCTTGAAGAAACACGCCAAATGCGTTCTAATTAATATGCGCATGTCATTGGTCAATTCCGGGCTCAATGATGACGTCAGAAGGAATGACCATATATAGAACGTCGGTCAAATTTGGCCGACGAACACTGATTGGCGTGGTGAGTTCACAGGTTTATTTTAGTTTGAAAGAGTGAAGACAAAGCTCTCTTTTAAGAAGTGAAGTCAAACGAATGCAAAGGGTATGGTGTTATGAAATCTGTTAATATTTATTGAGTAAAATATCAGTTAACCTAGATTTTGGAATGATATATGATGAGGGTTCACAGGGGACATACTCTATGTTATAGATACATCATCAGAATTACACTCAATTCGTCAAAAACAAAGACCTTCTCTTTTAAAGTGATCACTTGTTTCATATTAAGATTTACTTCTCCAAGGAGCAAGTGTTTTCTAGTCTCATCAATGTTATTTCTATAAATCACTATTATCCCTGCTGCAGGCCTATAATTCACCATTTCTCTTGACAACCTATTGATTTTTTTAATATTTAGGTTTGATTGAAGATACATTCAAGAGATAACATCGTTTTGGTTAGAAATTGATTTTTCGACAGAATTACGGATGATCAACTGTTTTATTAAGGTCGTAACCTTGGTGATGTTTAAGAAGCCCTCCTTTTGTAGTTTCTTCCAGAACATTCAGTGAATGCTTCACTCCCATACTGGCCTAGATGAGACTTTAGGCTAAATATACTTTTCCCATTTTCCAATTCTGAATTTCTATTTAACAACATTCTCCATTCCATTCTGTCAATGTGCATTTCTCTATTCTGAACCTTCAGCGTAAATTTGACATCCAACCCCGACCATGGGATGAAGAACTCTCATTTTCAGAATGATGAGCACCGTTTTTACGTAATGTCAGAAAATTATGTCCATGCATAATCAACAGGACTCATTTCTTTTAAATAATTTCTACTTTTTCACTGAGCTATAAATAGAAAGCATCTATTCCTGATAACGAACACTCTTTCAATCCATTGTAAGACCAATTAGGCTATTGTTAAAAATTAAAAACAATACAATGCGTGAGATTGCGTGTGTTGTTGAGTGTATTTGGTAATCTTAAGTTAATTAGATGCATCATTCTGGTATGATTTTCCTCACACTGTTCTCACATTTGCACTTACAGTACTTCCTTGTTACAAGGAGTGACTAAACTTATTGTCATACCTTTATGATATTCCATAGATTTGATGTAAAATAAGGATGGACAAAATGAGAAATATGCTCATTTTGATAAAAGCACATTTGCCCAGTTACGACTTTTACAGTATGAAATATTTCGATCATTTAATTTGATTAAGATCAATTTTATGACAAATATTAAATATTTTGACATACAATTCAATTCCAGGAGAGAGTGGATCAGGAAAGACGGAGGCCTCCAAGATTGTAATGAGATACATAGCGGCAGTTACAAACATCAGTGGACAGAAGGAGATAGAAAGGTAATTCTAATAATTATCCCATCTCGTGCACTTCCATCTGTCTGAGCAATGATTAAAGGGGCAGCAAATGAGCAATAATTAAAGTGGCAGTATAGGATATAAAGTGCATAATGAGGAAATCAGTATTCTCAATAGACACGCCAAGCATCAATATGTTTCTAACTAAATCCAAGATTTAGTGTTTTTATTTTAAGCAATTTATGATGCAGAGATGTTGAAATTTATTAGATTTGGGAAAAGGGGAGGCTGTGTGAAGTGTCACAAAAACAAGTGATGATATTTTGTTGTTTATGACTGGCAGTAGCTATCTGTTTCAGCAGTCATTGTTTGTAACAATTGTTACACTTTTGTAAATTCATAAGATTTGGGAAAGGGGGATGCTCCCTTTTTATGTCACCAAAAGAAGTGGTGACACTTTGTTGTATGTGAGTGGCAATAGCTATCTGTTTCAGCAATCATTGTAACCATTTGCAATAACTTTGAACTGTTGAATTACTTAGGAAATTGACATGGCAAACAATGCTGTGAGTAAATTGACATGGCAAACAATGCTGTGAGTAAATTGACATGGCAAACAATGCTGTGAGTAAATTGACATGGCAAACAATGCTGTGAGTAAATTGACATGGCAAACAATGCTGTGAGTAAAAAATGATGTAAAACTTGTGACAATATCGTTGAAAATCTCAATTAGTCTAAATCTTTGTCTGCCCTGTTAAAATCACCAGTGAAATAAATGAGTTCATAAAGTCTAAAGAATTGATGACGTGTAGTGGCATCATCATTAAATCCTTCTGGTTCTATTAAACTTTTAACTTAAAATCATTATAATCAATACAGCAGCATTTAATTTCACTTAAAACACACTGCTGTGTTTGTTAATTCATTCATTTCGAATTCCACCCATTTGTTTTGTGTTTAAATACACGGGCACTCTGACCTTATGTTTAGGAAGGGTTGTTGGCATTAGGTACCCTATGGAGTCATGTGTACAGGTATTTAATAGCCCCTAGTTAAAGTGATGATATCATGGAGATATGTGACTTTTGATCCTAATTAGTGTTGACTTCTACATTTGTAGCATATTAATTGTTTCTTCATTGAATGTTCATCCGTTGTTAAATATTGATTGGCAATTTTGCTTTGTTAAAAGTGCATGTAATGTTTAAATCAAATTATAACAGTGTACAGTTAAACCTGTGTTGAGTCACAAAAAGTGTTCACTGCTGATAAGTATTCATACAGGCCCGTAGCCAGGATTTGCCAAGGGGGGTTCACTTTTTGAAACATTCCAGGTGGGTTCACAATTTTGGTCCAAAAATGGCCAAAATCACTTAAAAGTGCCCAGAATGGTGAAAAATTGCTTCATTTTGAAATGTTTTTTGGCTGGGGGGGGGGGGGGGGTTTCGCTCAAATCCATCGAACCCCAGCCCCTCCCCCCTGGCTACGGGCCTGTCATATCCGAGATTTTTATACTGGATTCAAGAGAATATGACTTAAAATTGTGTTCTCTAAAAGAAGTTGTTTATTGATAGAAGTTTTCACTAAGACAGGTTTTATTGTACTATTCTATTGTACTATTCTATTGTACCATTTGGCTAAACTAATCTTTATAAAGGCCTGGAAACAGTGAGTAGATAAAATGAAAGAAATTAAGTATTTTGATTAATTTTTAACGTGACTTTGCATACCTTTATATTATAATATATATCTATACCTTAATCATACCTTAACATCAAAACAATAGGATGTTCAGGTGTGGCCTACCTTGACATTTATTGTTCATTTTATGCACTCACAAAATTGTTGAAAAATAAACCTTGCTCTGTAAATGTAATATATTGCTCAAAATGTTGATCACTAACAAACTCAGATTAAGACCCAAACACTTCTTGTATGAGACTGTTAACGACTAATATGCCATGCTGCCTATCAATAGTGACAACTTGGGTAACTTGATAAAAGGCCTGTATTTCATCTTTGACTTCCTAATGAAGTTTGGAAAACTGTTGTTTATAGAAGTGCCTCTTGTTATATGCACTTGTTCTGTATGATGTATTTTCACATCTACTCTTGTCTTGTCTCTGGATATTGTCTCAAAATCAATTTATAAATCACTGTCACTATGTCAACTGCAACATTAAGGAATATATGGGAATCATGTACATAGTGGGCCAATAAATGTGATTTCCTTATGAGAGGTTATATGTCACATACATGTTAAACTAGTTCAATTTTTTAAATTTATAAATCTAAAACATACTGCACCAAATCATTGTTTATGAACATAAGCAACAAAACGAGGGTTACATTTTAGATCATCAGGATCTTTCTCAAATGTGTTGTCAACTCTATCTTCTTCAGGGTGAAGAATGTCCTCATCCAGTCTAACTGTATCCTGGAGGCTTTTGGGAATGCTAAAACCAACCGTAATGACAACAGTAGCCGCTTTGGAAAGTATATGGACATCAACTTTGACTTCAAGGGAGACCCCATAGGAGGACACATTAACAACTATCTCCTGGAGAAGTCCAGGGTCGTCATGCAGCAAAAAGGGGAGAGGAATTTCCATTCATTTTATCAAGTATGATCACCAGTTTGTTTCAATGGAAATATTATAGTCTTGTATCAAGTCCTCCACCTTTGGATTTATAGTGAAGGGCATGATGAAAAAATAAAATATTTCTTTAATAATAATTTGTTTCATTAATTATTAATTGACTATAATTAATTCACTAAATAATTACCAAAGTTGTAAACCATTAACAGCAATTTTATTAGAATGGAAAAGAAGAAACTTTTATAGAATGGAAAAGTTGAAATAAGCTTTTGATTTGTTCTGATTCTTTGAACCCAGTAATGCGCTTTGATAAATATTTATGAGATTTTGATACGTAGGATAGAAAAAGGAAATCCAAGGCTTGAGGTGGATTATTTTGTTTGGATCCCTGGTTTGTGGGATTATCATGTTACATGCAAATGTGTTTCTTTGATTCAACTCAACATCTCTCTCATTAGCACAAAGGTTTATTCGATTGGGTGTACCTTTGTTTTAGCTTCTGTATGGATCTCCAGATAGCAAACTTGTAGAGCTGTCCATCACTCGAGATGTTAAAAGATATCACTACATCAACCAAGGAGGCGAGCCCAAGGTAAAACTATGCCCATATTTAGACATTTAGAGTTAGTACATGATAAAGTACTTATATGATACCATTGGTTCTTTATTTTAAGAATAAAACAGGCCAATTATAATAACCAGTCATGTTGAGATTCATTTCATAGTATTGGAAATTTCATATTTCTTGCTCAGTTTCTATATCACTAGATATAAATGATAATCCGCAACATGACTTATATGTAAGTTTAAATCGAGAAAACAAAAAGCTCGTAACCAGGAAGTTCATCCATTTTGTTACATTGACGTCCCGTCAAGGTAACTAGTTGTGGAACAGTGTATATCTAGTAGGTGGAATGTATCATGATGGGGGGGGGGGGGGTGCATGTTTCTGTTTGGCAGTCAGTAGGAAAAGCATCTATAAGCTGATGCATGCCCACAAATATAATGATTACACAGAGGGGACATGGTTAAATTCCATTACATATTTAAAGGAAGTGAATTTTTTGATTAGAGAATAATGGAGGGGTCATTTTTACAAGTAATTATGTCACCACCACAAGGGGTGACATATTGTTATAGTCTCCAATTTTCTTTATGGATGGTGTTTGGCAGTTGGTGCTTGGCAGTTGGTGTCTGTAAAAATGTCAGATGGTGACATTTTGCATGCTAATGCCTTGTTATTTTTTGAGACATAAAAAATATTGATGGTCTGATCCAGATGTCTCATAAATATTTGTGAGTTTGTTGGAAAAATATGTGCATGTATTTTTTCACATGTTATACTGTACCTCTTGAGCTACCTTAATTGACTGCTACTTGCATCTTGTTGATGGATGTTTTTTTTATTTATTATTTATTTATTTCACAATATAGTCTAATATGATGATATTGTGGCTTACTTTGCTCTATTTGCCTCATTGTTTGTAAGCTATTGTACAGTACATATATTTGGGTTTTAGACCATTGCTTTTGTGAAATTGACCCATCAGTCACAAGTCTTTATTAATCATTTTTTCTATTCCATTTTCTCATTTCTAAATGCATTCTAATTAACACTCACTGCTCTCTCCAATACATCGATTTGTTTCATAGATTGTTGAAAGGTTTCATCCCTTTATAAACACACTGTGAATATATATCATTAATACACTACTCTGCAGTGTGTTTATAAAGGGATGAAACCTTTCAAAATCATTTGTTACTATTATCTCTCATTTTAATGTCATTTACATTTTACAAGTTCCCTGGGAGTGAGTGGGCTTTGAAATCCACTGGGACATTTTGGAGGTGCGCTGTATGTCTTAAAGAAGAAAACGGTGTATTTGATTAAATTGGCTTACATCTATAATTCATTCGATAATACAAATAGATGAGCCCATAAGTGATGATTAAATGTTTTGTTACATTTATTGATGTAACCTCACAAGGATATGAATAATTTAATATAAAAGTGAGATAGGTTTTAACACGGAATCTTTGTATTAGTACAATATTTGTAGCAGTATACTTAATGAAATTAATAAAATATTCATGACTCTAGGAATGTTAAGTTGAATCTGCCAACAACTAATAGCGCTCCATTCTAACAATTATAAGTAAAATGATATCACATCAAAGTGCTATTTTGCTACCTTATAAATGGCTTACTGATGGCTGTGACAATATATTATGTGTCAAGGTACCTTAAAATTTATTAGTTTGAACTGATTACCCTAATTGCTTTGAAAGTTCATGATTTTTCGATGAATGGCTGTAACTAAATCACATAGGATTTGTATTACTTGTTTGGTCCCCTTTTGGTCAAAATTCTAGTGGCAGCCATTTTTGTTCAGAGAATCACTTGCATGAAACATGTACATGTCACTTTAATTTAATCACACAAGAATTGATGTGACTAATGACAATTAAAGTCAGAAATGTGCATCTTGAGCATTACCTTTCTTGCATTGCTTGTTTTGTAGAATTCCCAGGAGAGCTATGAGGAAATTGTAAGATGTTTAAATGGAAGTTCATTGTGTTTGCATGTGGGTAGGGTTGTGATATATTATAAAGTTCATTTGGCACTTTGGTGACTTGTATATATAAAAAGGTATTTGTTCTTCTTTATCTTTGCTGTTGTTACAAGTTGTTTTTAATTCCTTGGGTTCAGTTCCAGTTCATGTAAATAAGGTCTGAAAAATCTGGTTGTTTGGTGGGTGGTAGAAGGGTGAAAGAAATCAGATGACCAAGTGAGGTTTGTATCAAAAATGGTATATTATTGCCAAGAAGTATGAGATTCTACCTTTTGATGACCAGATTCAAGAATTTTTTCTTGACATAAGGTCATCTTCCACTTACTTTGTGGAAGTACTTTTTCAAGCAAAACTTAATAAATATATAATGAATAGGTTTAGTGCCAGAATACCTTACACCAAATAAAACAAAATATGCTCTCCAAATCTGGAGTATTAATGGTTTCGTCTATATGTACAGTATATAAAGTGAAAGAAATATAAGAACTGTGTAATTATCAAGAGAGATGAGAAGTCCTATAGGCCACCAACAAAAAGCGCTGACTCAGCGTCATATTTCTATTTCAAATGCTTTCAGCTCCTATGTATAGACTGAGTTACCAGCCCTATATTTGTATTGTATTTATGAATGTTGAAATGGTGTACTATAATGGTGTAATACTAAAAGCAGATTACATTTTAGGATGAAAATGGAGACAGTGGAATGCTGCGAAGATACCAAGTTGGAAATGTTAGTCACTGAGACAAACATATTCAATGGTGGTCATGATTTTGCTGTAAAAGCAGGAATTGAATAGAAATCATAGCTTTTGTTTATATCCCCATTCAAGTATCTTCTCCTTTGAAAGCTTTAGTCATAGTCTCTCATCAAGTGCCTGGCCCCTTACAAGTCAATGCCCCCCATCAAGTCATTGGTCCCCAACCCATCAAGTCCCTTATCTCCATCAAGTCCCTGGCCCCATCAAGAGAAGATGATGTAACATACAAACTTGATCCAATGTTGAGATGAGACTAGAATCCTCCCATACTTATACAGCAAGAGAATGAACACATGGCCACCATGTTATACAAGCAATGCAAGCATAAAGCATAATTAAGCTCTATGTTATTCATGCAGGCATAAAAAATACTCTAACTGCTTTATGAATGAACTTTTGGTGTACTGGTATTTCACATAAATTATTAAATTTCAGAGCTCCTACTATGTATTTTGTCAAATTCTGCTTTGCATAAACATAATTGATTGCTTATTTCTTAAAAATGATATTTTATACAGATGTTTTGCATATAATGAATCATTGATTTAACGACCTCTTAATATGATTCATTTTGTTTTTAATGCTTCTATACAGGCCTTGAAGGTAAATCTATGAGCAATCTTGAACTAACCTTTATAATATGTGATCACTAACCATTTTCCAGATATGATCTTGATTAACATGCAGTGCATGATCAGGTTGGAAGCTTGGTTGAGATAGCAGATAGCTGACCAGTTAACAAATACATGCAATTATTTCAACAGGGATCTGTTCCCGAACTTTGAGTCAGTTGTATCATTGGTCGGATCTTATTGTTCTCTATTGATTTTTCATGGTTGTAAATCTGTTCCTGAACATCCAAGTTGCATCGTAAATGATATGACCTCAGAAAATTCAAGTGTAAGACTGCCGACAGGGTATCTTACTGTCAATTTTAAAAGATAATGGTTTAACTGATGGATATCAAAAATGAAAAAATGAAAAATGAAACGCAGGGGGCTTACCCATCTCGAACTCCTAACATTATGATTACGACATCAGCGCCCAGCCCAGCGTGCTCAATGCTTTAGACCGGTGTATAGTCCATCCTGACTTGTACACAGAATATAAAATCAATGCACTGACAGTATGTCATAATATTGAGGTTCATCCAAAAAGGCTTACAACCAAGTTATACATAGCTTTGTAACTTTAGAAATTGTGTCTGCCATATTTACAGCATAAGCATTGATGAGATTTAAAGTTCGGAAATAGACCCCATCATATCAATGATTGCATGCTTCTTCTGATAGATGATGAACTTGTAAATGAATAACCAGATAATATACTTTTGAAGTAGTACGAGTGTATGCTCAGTTATATGTGAGATTTGGATGGATAGAACTAATACACAAAATATATAATATAGAGTACAAAGTGGGAATTATATGTAATAATCTTGTTGGTTGAACTGTAATGTATCTTTACGCTTACAATGATTGCAGAGTTTAGTTAAAAACTAACAAGACATTTTCTTGAAGCCAAGTTTAGAGTCTATATATTATTTTGCACTCAGTTAATAATTCAAATGAAATGTTAATACACGTACAATGTTCTCAAAATAAACCTTTAACATTTGAAGCTGATTATTTTGGCATTTGTATTTGAATATTGAATATCTATTATTTTATTATCTGCTGGAAATGTCATCAAATGAGATTATATGATATTTTTAAAATGTTATCATGAATGTCATTTTACTATGGAAATGGATTCAACCTTTTTTATATAAACTAACCTATGCACCGGAACATGTAATGCATATATGCAGATAATGTTATATTATATAAAACCTAGCCAAAGTGTTTCATCTAGCCCAAGCTCTCTCATAAATATGGAAAACTGAATTCAAAATAGATGCCATTATGTAGTAACATAGAACAACCCATGAGAAGAAATATACTCATTCTTCATTTTCTTGTCCAATCTTGAAAATGCAAGACGCAAATATTTATATTAAGTCCCATGTAAAAAGTCTGCAATGCATTTAATTCTTCATTTTGATAAATGTTGAATGGAATTGCATCATGAAATGTAATTAAGTTCGCACCATTTAGAAATAAAATGAAATTCATACAATTTATAATATTCTTTTTTCTGTGCACAGGTTGGATCCATCGATGACAAACATGATTACAGAGCTGTCATGGATGCAATGAAAGCTATAGGATTTGCCTTCAAACATGCAGAAACACTCTGGAAAATAGTGGCAGCTATCTTACATTTGGTATGTCATACAATTTCATCTCTAACATAAAAATCATATATTTTGAATGATTTTTTGACAAAATCTTGTATTTTAAATGATTTGTTACATGAGCATTTCTGATACATTCTTTACACAGTATTAAAATGACTTAGAATGTATAATCATATGCCGACATCATATTATAGGGTAATGTTGAATTCGAAGAGAAAGGGATTGATGACCACGATGCCAAAGTGAAACAGCAGTTCGAGTTGAAGACAATCGCAGGGCTGTTGAGTCTGGATGAGTTTGAACTGGAGAGGGCACTGTGTCATAGGACAGTGGCAGCAGCAGGGGAAGTCATGGATAAACAGCTCACTGTGCCTCAGGCAGAGTATGCAAAGGATGCATTCGCAAAGGTATCTAGAACTTTCCCCGCAAGATTTTATCTACATCATTTTATTTTATCTAGATCATTGGTCCTTATATCAGTGCAATGCAGGTCACTTCACCCATTATCAAACAACAAATGTAATATACCGCTCATACTATTGCTCCATATACTTGAGTCCCAAAGAAGTAGTGGGCATCTAAACCATTTATTTAATAGGCAGGGGGAATATTAACTTGTTTCTCGTCAGTGAGCAAATGGTAACTTGTTTCTAAGTGATCAAAGATATGTTTCTGAGTAATCTATGAGAGAATATTGACTTTTTGGAGGCAATTTATTATAGACAACAATGTTCTCCCCAGGATTATCTCAAGAATTCATAATTTAGACATAATTTGGTCAAAATATGCATATTTTTCATGATTTTCAGGTTGGTACATTCTTAAATTCTCAAGTGGGCCACTTGCCTACTTGCTTTAATGCTGGGGAGATCATTGGATAATGTTTACTTTTTCAATGTAGAGAATTTTTCCTTTTAGGCAATCTATGAAAGAATGTTTACTTGGATTGTCAGCAGGATCAACCAGGCCATTGAAATAAAAAGTGATGTCATCAAACATGGAAGGAATACTGTCATTGGCGTTCTTGACATCTATGGCTTTGAAATATTTGATAACAACAGGTAAGCTTTGAATTGATTTGAATTATATTTGGGAAGTTTGTGCTTGACACTATTATTTATTTTAACTTCAATATCAAGGTTTAAATCTAGATATGAACAGTAAATATGGGATTTGGTTCTTCCCACTCATGTTGATGTTTAATGTAAATATTTGTTTTCTTCAGTTTTGAGCAGTTCTGCATCAACTACTGCAATGAGAAGCTCCAGCAACTGTTTATAGAGCTGGTCCTTAAACAAGAGCAGGAGGAATATATGAAAGAAGGCATAGAGTGGGAACATGTAAGTATGTTACATGAGAGACAGAGTTGGCTGATTAATAACATGTAATACAAGAATAGAGATTTCATTTTTCATTATTTGATAACATCGGCTCTGTGGAGAATCTACATGCCCTTGAAATAACATTTTCAGAGAAAATTGAAATTTCAGACTTAATTAACAATTTTAAAACCACATTTCCAGATTAGATGCAATTTAATATGTCTATAGATTTCAAACATGACATTATATTAAACTGATGGACTGTGCAATATATTGTCAGTTTTCCAACATGGTTTGCATCATTAAGGCATTTTTATCCTGCACAGACTCTTACAGTATTTTCTTCAGTTCCATTCTTATATGATTTGATATACAATTCTGTGTTTTATGTTTTAATATACAATTCTGTGTTTTATATTTTGATATACAATCTGTACTTTTTTCTCTATTTGAAGGTTGAGTACTTCAACAACAAAGTAATCTGTGATCTTGTAGAGGAGCCCCACAGAGGCATCATAGCAACGCTTGATGAGGCTTGCCTTAATGTTGGCAAAGTCACAGATAAAGTAAGTTAATAAAGGTTAAAGTAAGTAAGGGTGATGTAATCTGTGATCTTGTAGAGGAGCCCCACAGAGGCATCATAGCAACCCTTGATGAGGCTTGCCTTAATGTTGGCAAAGTCACAGATAAAGTAAGTTAATGAAGGTTAAAGTAAGTAAGGGTGATGTAATCTGTGATCTTGTAGAGGAGCCCCATAGAGGCATCTTAGCAACCCTTGATGAGGCTTGCCTTAATGTTGGCAAAGTCACAGATAAAGTAAGTTAATGAAGGTTAAAGTAAGTAAGGGTGATGTAATCTGTGATCTTGTAGAGGAGCCCCACAGAGGCATCATAGCAACTCTTGATGAGGCTTGCCTTAATGTTGGCAAAGTCACAGATAAAGTAAGTTAATAAAGGTTAGAGTAAGTAAGGGTGATGTAATCTGTGATCTTGTAGAGGAGCCCCACAGAGGCATCATAGCAACTCTTGATGAGGCTTGCCTTAATGTTGGCAAAGTCACAGATAAAGTAAGTTAATAAAGGTTAGAGTAAGTAAGTGTGGTGTAATCTGTGATCTTGTAGAGGAGCCCCATAGAGGCATCTTAGCAACCCTTGATGAGGCTTGCCTTAATGTTGGCAAAGTCACAGATAAAGTAAGTTAATGAAGGTTAAAGTAAGTAAGGGTGATGTAATCTGTGATCTTGTAGAGGAGCCCCACAGAGGCATCATAGCAACTCTTGATGAGGCTTGCCTTAATGTTGGCAAAGTCACAGATAAAGTAAGTTAATAAAGGTTAAAGTAAGGGTGATGTAATCTGTGATCTTGTAGAGGAGCCCCACAGAGGCATCATAGCAACGCTTGATGAGGCTTGCCTTAATGTTGGCAAAGTCACAGATAAAGTAAGTTAATAAAGGTTAAAGTAAGTAAGGGTGATGTAATCTGTGATCTTGTAGAGGAGCCCCACAGAGGCATCATAGCAACTCATGATGAGGCTTGCCTTAATGTTGGCAAAGTCACAGATAAAGTAAGTTAATAAAGGTTAAAGTAAGTAAGGGTGATGCCTTTGTGTCAACAGTTTTGGAATAGCAAAGTTAATTTCATTTTGGGAGGGGATAATCACAGAATCACTGGGAAATTTTTTTGGCTGATTTTTGAAAATTCCAGTGACACAGAATCAGCATGTTAAAATCTTGTTATATGGGAGAGGGGTTAAGCTATAATGATATTTCTTCTATAACAGTACTGATATCAATTGAATACCATTCCTAAGTTGATGATGAATGATGTTGACGATGTTCATCGTTGTGCAACATTTTTTATGAGGTTTTTGTCTGATAGTGGAAGGTTTATCACATCTATGGGGTCATCTTTAAAAACTGCAAGTCATTCCTTTCATGATATCAATGTACCGTTAGGATGTAAATTATATTGTTAAAGAACATGTATTTTTTTATGGAACAAAATTGTCATTTAAAGATATTTTGCAAATTTCAGATGTTTCTTGAGGCAATGAACCAGAAATACGGTGACCACAAACACTACACAAGCAGAAAACTAAAGACTGGGGACAAATCTCTTGAATATGACATCAACTTTAAAATTAAACATTACGCAGGAGATGTCAAATACAGTGTTGTGAACTTTATAGACAAAAATAAGGACACTTTATTCCAAGATTTTAAAAGGCTGTTGTATAACAGTGACAATGAACTCCTGAAAATCATGTGGCCAGAGGGTGCTCAAGCTGTTACAAAGGTACGTGCGAATAAAACTTTTCTTGTAGATTTTATTCATACCAAAAATCAAATCCCATAAAATCAAAAATTTATTATTGTCAAAACTATTGTCACATAATTTCCCGCTTATGTGGCTTTAGTTTAGATGAACTAATTGTCTAATATAATAGAGGTATGCCTGTAGTATAAGTGGAATACAGTGAAACTGTCTGTCCATCCATCCTATCGTCCATCTGTCTGTCTTCTTGTCAATATGTCTTCTGTCTGGCAGAATTAGAATACCAGTGAACTAATTCTTGTCATATTATATAATAGGAATATGTGCAATTGTAAATTATTTTTCGAAAAGCAATCTTTTCGAAAATGTTTTTCTTTCTGTCATATTTAGGACACTCTTCTCTATATACATGTAGATTTTATCCTGAGTGAAGGGTAAAATTTATAGTATGATATTTTGTTCTAAGTTTTGTTTTATCTTTCAGGTGACAAAGAGGCCATTAACAGCAGGCACCAACTTCAGGAATTCCATTATAGCATTAGTAGAAATTCTTGCCTCAAAGGTATGTGCAACAAGTGTATTGTATATTATTATTGGAGTACTTTATAGTTGAAGTAAAGGACTTGAAATTGTAATGTATTTGACGCATGTATCATGATGGGCCAAGTATAAGTAGATAGTAATAGTCCTAATAATTCAAACTCATAATGACATGATGTACATGGATATACACAAAGATAGGTCTAAAAGGATGCGTTAAATGCCCACTTCAAACAAACATAGTGCTATGGTTGTGAGCTGATAAATTGATGAAATCGAAATGGTCTGCATTATTCCCTCTATTTATTTAAATGTAGGAACCGTACTATGTGCGATGTGTGAAACCCAATGAAGAGAAGTCCCCAGTGTTGTTTGATGATGAGAGAGTACAGCACCAGGTTATGTACCTTGGTCTTTTAGAGAACGTCAGAGTCAGGCGAGCGGGCTTTGCATACAGAATGGAATACAAACGTTTCCTACAAAGGTTTGTACAATTCAGTAATCACTAGGTCTAATCATCTAAACAAAGGCCTCTGTTTGATATCATCCACAAAGTTATTTTATTCCCATTCAGCTGGTCTATAAAGATCGTGACTTGTTCAATGGTCCGAATATGTCTTGTGATAGTAGTTCTAAACAGTAATAGGTGAACCGAAAATGTGTATGCTTATCTCAGAAATAACAGCAGTAAAGGTAGTATTTGGCAATACATTGAAAATGAAAGATTTTGCAAAACATTTGTTGCAAAACAGGAAAAGTAGACAATTTTTTCACAAGAAAAAATGATAGGAATTATCCTGATGATAACTTGAATAGTTAATCGTCTGTCTATTGGGACTGTTTGTGAATGTTTTTGGCAATTAAGCTTCATTAAAATCAATAATATTGCAAATGTCTAATTAACAGATACAAGATGATATCTCAGTTCACATGGCCAAACTTTAGAGGTGGACCAGACAGAGATGGCGTTCGAGTCATCATCGATGAGCAAGGCTTCCGCAATGATGTGCAATATGGACGCACAAAAGTATTCATACGTTCTCCCAAGACAATATTTGAACTTGAGGGAGCTAGGGCAAGACTTATTCCAGGCTTGGTGATCTTTTTGCAGAAGGTATGTGTCCCTCCATGCAATGTGTAGTTTTATCTACCCCTCCCTTCAGTTTGTACCCTACAGGTGTTAGGGACAAATAAATTGGAAAGGTTCATTTCGGATAATTTGGGCTCCTGAACCCCACAATTTTGAGATGGTTCAGATCAGAGTGACCACACAAAGATATTGAATTCTGGAAAAATTTTACCTAAAACAGAGTCAAACATATTTTTAAGGTTGCTTTTACATAACATTTTAATGATACATCATTAGTAGTATCAAGTGCATTAAGTAGCAATTGTAGTAAACTGCAGAAAAATGTCCTGTCCTACATGGACATAAAATGGCTCTTTGGAATTGTTCTTGGAGCATTCTGTATGTAATGTATGATTGAAGTGCAATATTTAGTATATATTTCTTTCAGTTGTGGCGTGGTGGACTGGCAAGGTTACGCGCCAAACGTATGAGAGCCATTTACAAAATAATGGACGCATATAAGAGATATAAACTGAAGTCCTACATTAGGCTGCTAGCAAATACATTCAGGTATAAACTCTATAAGTTCTTTGCCACTCTTTCTAAACATGCATCTTGTAACTAAACAATATAATTCAACTTATCTTATCAGTTCATTACAGTGTTACATGTATAATGTTATAATTTTTGTAAGAAAAACTGTCCAGTTCACTCCTGTAACTGATTTTATTTTTATCACACCATCGGTGGGATATAGTCGTCATACTGGTCGTGGTCGTGGTCGTGGTCGTGATCGTGGTCGTGATCGTCCCGCTTTTTTGTCATCGCCGTTTAAGGAAAACTGCTCATCAGATTTTCTCCAAATTCGCAGAGATGATAGAGCATATGAAGTACTAGAGCTGACTAACTCTTGGGTGGCCATCTTGTTTTCTGGCGGCCATTTTGAAGGTTTTTCGAAAAATCTTGTCATCGCCATTTCAGGAAAACTGCTCATTGGATTTACTTCAAATTTACACAAATGATAGAGGATATCAAGTACTAGAGCTGATTAACTTTTGGGCGGCCATCTTGTTTTCTGGCAGCCATTTTGAAGATTTTTCGAAAAATCTTGTCATCGCCATTTCAGAAAATCCGCTCATCGGATTTCCTTCAAATTTACACACATGATAGAGGATATCAAGTACTAGAGCTGATTAACTTTTGGGCGGCCATCTTGTTTTCTGGTGGCCATTTTGAAGGTTTTTCGAAAAATCTTAAAACCGCTTATCGGATTTCCTTCAAATTTACACAAATGATAGAGGATATCAAGTACTAGAGCTGATTAACTTTTGGGCGGCCATCTTGTTTTCTGGTGGCCAGTTTGAGGGTTTTTGAAAAATCTTGTCATCGCCGTTTCAGGAAAACCGCTCATCCGATTTCCTTCAAATTTACACACATGATAGAGGATATCAAGTACTAGAGCTGATTAACTTTGTGGCAGCTATCTTGTTATCTGGTGGCCATTTGAAGTTTTTTCGAAAAAATCTTTTCATCGCCAATTTAGGAAAACCGCTCATCGGATTTCCTTCAAATTCGCACAGATGATAGAGGATATCAGGTACTAGAGCTGATTAACTTTTGGGCGGCCATCTTATTTTCTAGTGGCCATTTTTAAGGTTTTTCGAAAAATCTTGTCATTGCCATTTCAGGAAAACTGCTCATCGGATTTCCTGTACATGATAGGGGATATCAAGTTCTAGAACTTATTAAGTTTTGGGTGGCCATTTTGTTTTCTGGCGGCCATTTTGAAGGTTTTTAGATAAATCTTCTCATCGAAAACAATCCACTTTGTCATATTGCCTTAAATTTTAGCTCAAGATGTGAGCTATTCATTAATATGACCACAGCCAACATTTTTTTTTCTTGTTCTTGAAATTTGTAAACATAATAGGAGAACAGTTTTCCTGGTTCATAGTGTCTGCCTATTTGATGGTGTGATCTCGTTCACGTCCTGTGCCTTGTTTATATATTTTATTATTCACCCATTCACCATTTGCTAAAAATATATTTTAATGTTAATTAGCCTATTAGAAACCACTCCCCACATATAGTCTATCAAATAACTGTCCACACAATGTCCATGCTTAAGTCCATGATATCATGTTGCAGACAATCAGGCCAGATGAGGGACTGGGGACGTTCTATTCCATGGCCAGAGCCACCAAAGGTGCTTGCAGAATATGTAGCTCTCTTACATAAGGTGCAGAGAAGGTAAGCAAGAATGAAGGAACCCTCATTAACCCTCATATGCCTGAGTGTTTTCCATCTTAATATGACTGGGTGGGCACTGGGTGGATGCTTTTGGCACCCCAGGTATAACTTTTTTTGTAGAGATCTCAGATCACTTTGATTTTTTACCAAAGTATAGTTTTATCTTCCTTCATTATGTTTACATTGAAAACTATTATTTGTATGCATGCTGTACATTAAGATTGTGTTAGAAATACATCCAGGGAAATACCGACCAATTACCTGTTAAGGTATGGAAGATACCCCACCCATGTGACTGATTTTATATGACCAGTATTCACCCAATCCTAAAACTTAATATATCATTCTACTTCCATGACTTCTTGTTTTCTATTATCAACATCATAACTGATTCAAACATGTATCTTGTTAATTTAGGTGGATATATAACATGATATTGAAGAATGTGCCAGTGGATGAGAGGCCGGGCCTGAGACTGAAGATCTGTGCCACTGAAGCTCTGAAGGGAAGAAGGAGAGAGTGGGGCATCAAGCGCAAGTGGCAGGGCAACTACTTGGCAGATGTGAGTAGCCACCAAAATATACTGGACAGTGGATATATTTTATATACAGGGGGTCATTAACAGAAGCTTTGTAAATTATTGTAACCATGGATATTATGATGCCATTGTAAGAGAACAATGGACTTTTTTCTTGAATTGTGACATCACTTTCAAAAACTGTCACAATTTTTACAGCATTGAAAATAAGTCAAATAATATTGTAATAAAGCTAAATGAATTCCCCAACTTCTGTATACAACACTTGGTTTATCTGTGCGATCATAAATACTTCTAAGAGTGATACAAAGTGTCCCATTTTTTATTGCCCACCCTGTATAATCGTATGCAAATATGATACTCATGGTGAACACTGCTATTTTGCAGCCAAAGGACAACCAGAACACTGCTGATTATGTTAGTACAATATCTCGCCTTAAAAACAATGACAACTTCCAGAAGGTGCTATTCTCTTCAACTGCCAAAAAGGTAAATGATCATTCACAAGATAAAGGTTGCTTCACTGGTAGAATAAAGAGCAATAAGTAATATCTGAATTTAACTATCACAAATGATATGAAACATTTAAAATTCCAGTATTTTGCATTTTTGCAGCTGTCCCTGTCAGTAAAAAAAGAAGTATGAGACATAAAAATAGAGGCTCATTTTATATGCATATAAATGTACTTCAGTTCACGTTACTATTGCATAACCCGTTTGATTCATACTCTATGAAATTCAAATGATTGCCTAATTAAATTGTTAGAAAGAGACAAATTCATTCCATATTATGTTTTGTCAAAGTAGGCTTTCAATTTCCTTAATTGTCGTTTTGTGATTTGTGAACATGTTTTATTTATTGGGATGTGATTTGTAATAACTCTATAACTATGATAAATCATATTGTAGGTGAACAGATTCAATAAATGTGAAGACAGGGCATTCGCTTTCACTGAAAAATTTATTTACAAACTAGATCCAAAGAAGCACTTTAGACCAATGAGAGCAGGGATTCCCTGCACTGATGTAAGTACATTGGGAATAGTACTTTTATTCTTCTAGAACACCAAATTTTACCCTTTACCAACAAACTTAACAAAGTAATTTTAATATAGTATAATACTCAACATTGTTGTTACCTCTATTGTGGGTTGCTGTAGACCCTTGTTCACAGGACATTGCACTTTCTATGAACCATAGAACCAGAGAAGGACAATGTACAATGTATGAGCTTTTGACTGTATAGTGGAATCATTTGACTGTACTGTGGAATCACTTGACTGTATTGTAGATCATTTAACTGTATTGTATAAAATCATCTGACTGTATTGTAGAATCATTTGACTGTATTGTAGAATCATTTGAGTGTCATGTAGAATCATTTGACTGTACTATGGAATCATTTGACAGTTATGTAGAATTATTTGACTGTAATGTAGAATCATTTAACTGTATTGTAGAATCATTTGACCGTAATGTAGAATCATTTGACTGTATTGTAGATCATTTGACTGTAATGTAGAATCATTTGACCGTAATGTAGAATCATTTGACTGTAATGTAGAATCACTTGACTGTATTGTAGATCATTTGACTGTAATGTAGAATCATTTGACTGTATTGTAGAATCATTTGACTGTATTGTAGATCACAGGGGTGAGTGTGACAGAGGGCCCTGATCAACTAGTGATTGTTCACCTACAAGGAGGCAACGATCTTGTCATATGTTTACACACTTCTACGCAAGAGGAGAGAGTAGGCGAACTGATAGGAATCCTTTGTAGACTCTGGCAAAAGTAAGAAAAAACATGTTTTCCAGACATAGTGAAAAGCTGTCATTAGAGATAAATTAATCAAAGAGAGACAAACACATACATTTAGTTTTTATTGCCCACTGAGTGTAACCAGGCTGTATCTTTTGTGAATCTGACCCTTTCCAACATTTTGTGAATGTTACAGAAACTTATAAGTCATTTTAAAACCCACCCTATTGTGAATGTGCAATTTTCTAGTGTGGAATGACCCCAATGTGTGTTCCTCTGTGTTCTTTTTATTCTACAATAGTACAAAATAAATGATTTTTGAAGAAATGGTTATGAAAATTCAAAAGACAAAAACAGGAGTAATATGTTTTCACACAAATAGTGATTTCATTTTGTTTGACTTGTCTCTTTTATAGGATACAAAAGCGAGATTTACGAGTCGTTGTTGGGAGCAACTTGCAGTGCATGCTGGGAGATAAATCACGCACAATAAACGTTGAAATTGGCAATGGTGCTGCTCCACTATTCAAGAAGAATGGCAATGGTTTCATATTAACTGCTCCTTCAGTATCAACTTAGCCAGCCCCTGTATAATATAGCACCGGTGTGAGACACAGCCAGACTATTGGATCTTATGTCTCCTAAAGGAGAAAGGGGATATATTGTGGGAGACACTTTTGAATTTATGCATAAACCATGACAACAGTATTTGTTCAGATACATATACTATAAAGAGATCCAGTATGAGGTGATAGATTTATCTTGATTTGTGCATTAATAAGAAATTGTGAGGTAATACATACATCTTGAGTTGTGTATTAACTGTGAGGTAGACCATACATCATGAGTTAAGCATTGATTGCGAGGTAGAACATAAGTCATGAATTGTGCATTAATTGTGAGGTAGAACATACATCATGAGTTGTGCATCAATTGTGAGGTAGACCATACGTCATGAGTTGTGCATTAATTGTGAGGTAGAACATATGTCATGAGTTGTGCAGAGACCATATGTCATGAGTTGTGCATTAATTGTGAGGTAGAACATACATCATGAGTTGTGCATTAATTGTGAGGTAGACCATATGTCATGAGTTGTGCATTAATTGTGATGTAGAACATACATCATGAGTTGTGCATCAATTGTGAGGTAGAACATACTTCATGAGTTGTGCATGAATTGTGAGGTAGAACATACGTCATGAGTTGTGCATTAATTGTGAGGTAGACCATACGTCATGAGTTGTGCATCAATTGTGAGGTAGAACATAAGTCATGAGTTGTTCATTAATTGTGTGGTAGTACATACATCAAGAGGTATGCATTAATAGTGAGGTAGAACATAAGTCATGAGTTGTGCATTAATTGTGTGGTAGTGCATACATCATGAGTTACATATTAATAGTAAGGTATTGCATACATCATGAGTTCTGCATTAAGTGTGAGTTCAAATATTCATCATGCATTGATTATGAGGTAAAACAATCATGAGGTGGATTCATGATGAGCCAATACATCATTAATGTGTATAATGTCTGCAGGTCAAGGACAGTGATTATATACATTATGTAAATTATATACATTATGTACCTGTTTGTATAGCTGGACTATTCAACAACAGTTCATTGAGAAATTTTTGAATTTGCCAATCCTGATGGTTTAACAGTCTTCAGAGGAATAATTAGCTCATATCATATAAGTGGAGTAGAGTTATTGTGGCATGGATGTGGAATCACACAAAAGCCTTAAACAGTAATTGTATCATATATATGGCAGTATGGAGTCACACATAAGCCTTTGAACGACAGAGTAATTATGTCATATAAGCCGTAAACAGTAATTGTATCATATGCAATATGTGGATTGACATATAAGCCTTTAAATAGCAGAGTAATTGTATTATATATATGGCAGTATGGAGTCACACATGAGCCTTTAAACAATAATTGTATTATATACAATATGTGCATTGACATATAAGCCCTTAAACAGCAGAGTAATTGTATCATATATATGGAGTCACACATTCGCCTTTAGATGCAAATGTATGACATTTAAATATTTACATGACAGTTGTAGAATGTTATTATTGTGTAACAACATTGTTTCTAAAGATTATGATATTACTTGTAATTAATTACTGATATATCAAATTCTTGATGGTTCATAAACTGGTGAGGTTATAATGCATTCTTTAATTGTGAAATTGAGGTTTTGGGTTGTTTACATTTCTGTTCACATTTAATATATATGTCTGTACATGTGCTGTACATTCTCGTATATGCACACATTTTAGTTTTGGTCTAGACTGTAATTGGGAAATGTGTAAAAAAAAACACACATTCCTAATATCTAATTGAAATGGAACAACTTATGTACATATTGACATTTATCTGGATGCTTTGTAAATTTGGAAATTTATGGACCAGCTTTGTAATTTCGATTAGCAATTCTGTTTCAAAATTCATTAATGTAAGCCCATTGCTCCTTCAAGCTACACGTTTCTATATTATAGCTAGTCAGTTGAATGATTTTTCTGGTAGACAATCCAAAGTCCAAGATTTATGATTTGTAAGCTAAAATTAGTAATATTTACCATAAGTTAATCTAATTCCTATTTTAGGAAAAATGTTTTTATGTATAATTAATATAACTGAATCAGCACAAAAAGGCATTCTTTAAACATAATTTCAATTAAAAATGTACTTGGATTATTTTTCTAATATTTGGGGGAAAAAGTCAGATAAAGCTAATTTGATGGTGTACCCATTTTCATACACATTCTCAAATTCTGCTTCAAAAATGGGTCAAATATGGCTGTGAGAGGATCTGCAGGTTTAGTATAGAGTAGGTCATCTCTGTGCAATATGCTATGCTTTTTGTACTTAATGTTTTTTACATGTTACGCATAGACCTACACAGCCAGGCCAATCTGGAGTCATATACTAATGCATTTTAAACATATTTTAATATTAAGAAATATGAATTTGAAGTAGCATTATCTAAGTCCTAAATAATTAGTAATCATGTATAATATTTAGTTTGAATGAAATCTATGTAAATCTATGGTATGTTGTTACATACATGTATTGTATATTATTCTGCCTTATACTAGCCAAAGCTTCCATTTTACAAGTTGTTGATGGATTTTATGAATCAGAAAAACTTGCTTGATTGCATGATGTATTTATTTCATATCATATCTTCAGATCATATATAAAAGTGGGTGCAATTTCTGTATATTATTAGTCTTTACTATTATAGCTGAAAATTATTTTACAATTATACAATCATATACTAGATAGATATATTTTTGACTTTTGAAATATGCTTTAGCTTATTAGAGATTGTATGCCTTTTTGTATATAAGGCATTTAGCACAACTAGATATAGGCAAGTCATTACTGTAATTCTGTGATGTTGAAATTATGCAAACGATACACAATAATCATGAATGAAAATAAGCATGTCAGCAAATGTTGATGCTGATGCGGAAAATTGTCAATTAATTGTAATTTAAACATGGTGATAATTAATAATTTAATATATTATTTACTTTATAAAATAATTGGAATGACTTATGTTAATTTACCAATTCACTGCCTTTGTAAATGCGTCAAAATAACTATTATAGAATGCGAAGGAAATTTTAGGGCAATGTTTTTTATTACAGTTGTAAAGTTATTCAACTAAAACCTTGGTCACATTTGCTCCGATTTTCACTACGGCGCCCGGTCGATTGAGTGTTTTGTTCAGAAATGTATTCAATTTTGAACAAAATACTCAATCGGCCGGGCGCCGGCCGATGAATCGCAGCAAATGTGACCCAGGCATAACCAAATGCAATGCATGGAGTCGACGATGGTGTAGTTTCATTTGATGGTGTGAATTGCACAGTGGAAATAATGGTATTAATAATTACAAAGAGAGTGATATGTTTTAATGTTATTTCTAGTATATTTATCTAAGGTCATGCATTTGACTATGCATTTATTTATGCTTCTTTATCAGAATTATACCTTTGACATTAGAGAGATTTCGCACATAAGAGAAAGTACAACTTATACGTATAGTTTAAAGGATCATGTCGAATTATTATATTTACTAAAATCAATTTTAAATTGTACTTAATGGAACATAACTATTCCCGTTATAGAAAAGCTCCATCAACTAGAGACTATGAATGCACTGTCATCTGCACGTGTAGATTATGCACATTATAATTAAATGCTTGCTTTCGTGTCCTTGTAGTTGTAGTGTATTATAAACACGATCCTTTAAAGGGAGTCATGATTCTTTAAAGTGAGTCATTACATAAACAAGTTGATTATTTCAATGTTTTCATGATCAGTATAAGTTCAATGAACTTACAAAACGGTATATTTACGTAGATGATAACGTAACAGTTGGATATCCGTATAAAGATTTGCCTACATGTGTGTGGAACAATTGACCGCAAGCATTTTTTCAAATTAATTGGCTGAGTGGGAACAGTATCCAATCAAATACTTTAACCATCAATTTGTAACACCAATCAAACCAGTAGGTTCTAGCAATTCCTGGAAACGATCCATTCAGTAGCTCAACATATGACACACAGGGTGTTTCATAACGAACATCTCCAAAAAGTCAATTTGAGAAGAGATGGGTCTAAACATATATATGAGCCTATTTTATTCTAGACAAACACATTTGGATCAACTAAACATGCTACAATTCAAGAAAGTACAAATGGCATCCCTTTGACCTGTATTTATTACAGTCCAAGAAGATCTTTCCTGATGAAAAGCTCACATTATGAAACACCTTGTGCGTTTACCTATAAGTATAAGTATACGTTATAAGTTGTACTTTCACTAGGTGCGAAATCTCTCTATTAAGTGATTTTGATTCTCTTAACAGTGAGTGAGTGTAACGCATACGTTAGGATCCCCCAAAATAACTGCTAATTTTTTCCCGACCTGCAAATGGGGGGGGGGGTGAGAAGAAACGTCCAGTGTTCTATTGAAATAAATAGAATTTTTGCACATCAATATATTATAGTTCTATCCTTAACATATTAAAGTAAGTCTGAGGCTGTATTATCACCTCCGAGAACAATAGTCTAGCGTGACATATTTGTCTATAGTTTGAATTAACTGCATATCAAGGACCCTCACCACTTGGATATAGAACAAAAATCCCTGGTTGGCAAGCACGGACGGTATCTACCATTTTACTGCAAATGCTGATACTCTGAACGTTTTGTAACAGATGCCAGAAATCTTCCAACTATGTGTGGCTTATATACCCGTATTAAAATCAATGCTATGATAACCAACGCTATGGCGCATATGATGACTGCAGCAAGGGTTCCACAGTCCATAGAACCACAGCTTGGCGTTGGTGCATTTGGCGCTGGTGGCCCTACCGTCACTGATGCCGCCGCACATTGTATTCCAGAGGCTGAATTAGCGCAACAACTGTTTATAGTGTCGTCGCATTGAAGAGAACCAGTGGCACAGCAAGGCTTGTTCCCAATCACATTCCCATTTGGTTCAAAGTTGAAACAAGCGACAGGGGAGTATGTACAATTGTTCATCCAGCTTTCTAAACCTGGTTTCTCATCGCAATATTCTCCTAGTTCGTCCTCCCCTTCTGAACATTCAGCGTAGCCGTTGCACATCATTTCAGAACTGATACACTTCTGGTCTTTACAACAAAAGACACCCTCCATATGCTGACCCGTGTAACCTTCCTTATCAATATATAGGGTCACTCTGGCATGGAGCTTATTACCTTCGGGGTATGCATTCCTCACTCTTACATAAATGAACTCCTGTAAGTTTGGCTCGTTCCGGATATTGTCTAGATATATTGTCATATTCGGTTGGAAATTGTAGCTACTTATTTTAGTATCTAGTTTGTACTTCCCACTGCCTTCTGCCTCAGGTACGACTTCACCAGGGCTACTCATGGTATAGATCTCCAGGTAGCTCTCTATCCCCCAGCTGTCATAAAGGTCCTCTATGACAGTCCCATTATCTAAGCCTGAAGATACTAAGACGAGATCCGTAATTTGGAATTGGATCTTCATAGGTGTTAACCAGTTCATGGTCCAAATACACTCGTGTGCTTTACCCAATGTCTCATAATCGACATCTATGTTAATAGGGATCACCCAGGCTGTGTTAATGGCCATATTATCACCACATCCGGTGTTGGTTGTGGCTGGCATGAGAAAATCCGTGGTATGGGCATAGTCCAGTGGTAAGAATCTGTAGGTTAATCTAAACTGGTCGTTTAGGTCCGACGTGATTACTAAAGTTATATATGACGTTGTGCTAACGAAAGAAGGTGGCCTTGCCTGTTCGGTAACAGTTGCCTCATACAATGTCGTGAAGTTATCAGATGGGCCATCCCCAATGGCAACACCAGCAACAGAGTCTAGAATGTTGATTGCAATGACGCCACCGGCGATATTTTGTAAGGTGAGCATGCAACCACTATCAAAACTACTCGTTGATGCCGATTTATCCCATAACAACCTACCATATGGTCGTAAAGAGCTGTTGGATCCAACTATTGTTTGATTAACTGGATAAATTCTTGGGTCACCATCGGGGACTATACCTTCATATGGGACACATTTCCCCACACGTTTCCTTTGTAGTGTTGCAGTGACTGCACACCCATCCTCCGTTACGCTCACAAACGCTGCTGGCAACGCTGCAAAATAATTAGCTTCAAACTCGCATAGTTTCTTCTGAATCGATGTGTGGAGATCTGGGCTTGTAGTGATGTTAAACTTTTCACATTGTTCTGCATATGTAGCGTTATCTGTACAGATTGGGTCATTATTTGTTATGTTGGCAACAGCGATAAAGTTTGTGTAAAAATTCTCAACAAGATAACGATCGAATGTACTGTTGAGAGTATACATTGAGAAATGATATGAACAGTTACTACGCATAACAGTTGGGTCCAGCTCGCAAGTAGGTGGACTGTTCAATTCGTTTAGATCGTCAATCGTTTCTGTATATCCATTCCCTAATAGTAAAATTAAAAGACTAACCAATGCTGTCCGTCCAATTTCGTTCAAATACATTTTTGTTTTTTTACGATCTGATGTCACGAATCAATTTGTTTTAGTTGTATCCAAAGGATGACACGGAACTCAATCGTCCTGGCTACGTTATTTAAAGCAGTTGCACATATTTGTTCATTTCATATCGTGGACCATGTCCTTAATAAAACAATTCTTTGTCGTACTTATATTCTTTATCAATGACAGATCACGAGATGTACTTGTATTTGATCAAGTATTGAGTTATCACTAGAAACACGTCTCACCTTAGCATTATATTTTCACCCTATTTATTTTTTTGCAAATTACATTAATTCTTAATAGTATTTCTGCCCCGAAAGAATGACATAGGTGGGATGTCTTGCGGGATTGTTCTGTTTTTGGTATGCTCTACTTCCATCATTCTCGTAGAAGAGTATCAAGGCATGTGTTCATCAAAAACCTTCAATTTTTGCATAGCTTTATCAGTTTTTTCAAACTTTTCAGAATCAAATAGGAGCTGTCAAATCAGGTTTTAATACCCACTTCGATAGTTCATTTTAAGAGATTTTATAGATTGAATCCCCCTCAAGCCGCCACTTTTATTTGCGAAAAATCATATTTGATTTCTAGACGTTTCCGATAAATCGTGCCATCTTTCGATCCATTAGAGAAACCACAATATATTGGCTAGATTGATGATGTCATAGGTTGTACTTTATAAAATTAGCAAAAAGTAAATACCATTTTTAAATGGGCAGTTTGCTACCTACAGCCAATGACATCATAAATCTAGCCAATAAGTTATAGTTTCCCTGATGGATCAAAAGAGGGCACGATTTATCGGTAAACGTCTATTATGGTTTTGAAATTCAAAGATCCAAAATGGCCACCTCTTTTATCAGCGAAATATCGCTTTTTGTGTCATAAATCCATAAATTTTTCTTGAAATTGTAAAGGCAGGTAAATGCCGGATTAGAATAATGTTGAAAAATTTTGGCAAACTGTCTCGTAAATTTCATAATTACCACTTACTTGTAGTGCTATGTAACATTTCAATTTCTGGAAATTGAACTATCTATTCATTGGCATTGAGATTATATCATATATAAGTAAGTAGCACAATACTAAATATGTTATTAAAAGGGTTTGAACATAAATTTCATGTTTAATTCACCACCCTGTACCTGTGACCTTCAAAAATCTTTGTTTCACCACCCTGCACCTGTGACCTTCAAGAATCTTTGTTTCACCACCCTGTACCTGTGACCTTCAAGAATCTACAACCACTGGACGGCACAATAGAAAAACTCATGTTTGTCCTGAGTAGGTTGATCTTAAAAATATATCTCCATTCAAATAATTATATTTTACGGCACATCCTGTAAAAATCCAATTTATTAATTATTTTAGATAGTCTGTCTATTTATGATTCACTACTATTTGTAGCAGTGTTATTGGGTTGGTAAGCAGCGCAACCAAGCCATATATCTTGTACAAAGTTAGAATGCATCCTATATATAGCTAGCTTTATTCTTGGAAAAATCTGGGATAATGATAATACAATATTAATTTGAGAAATAGTCCATTTAACGTGACATCTACTTACTAGATATAGTATTAAGTTCAACAGTTCCAACATTCTTGTTTCTCTCTATTGGCCACATGTAGTAGCCCGGTCATCAATAATGTTTGTCAAATTATTCATTGCCCCTTTAATCATCAAAAAGAATGACTTTAACATATGTTTCGTGAAATATCCGGAAATTAAAGTAAGTGAACTAAAGGCGGTTGGAAAAAGAAAATAGGATGCTCATTTTAGGTTTGTTAAAGTCTTCAATTATTTTCGCATTTGTGAATGACATACATAACGAGTTAACCACAAACAAACTCAAGTCCTATGCCTGAACCATATTCCGTTTCATCCTTGCATGATTGCTTTTGTGGGGACATAGAGCCGCATTCGCACCTTCTTCTCGCTTCATTCATTGCGTCTTGGTCGCTCTTACTCTGGTGATCGTATAGCCCATATTTTGGCCCAGTTGGTTCACTTTCGAGTGGATGAAGAAACGAAAAAATGGATTCCGGATTTTGTTTCCTGTTATCAAGCAAAAGCTGCTTTGCTGAATTCAAACGACAGTCTCCTTGAACATAAATATCTACCTGTGTTCTATCTGTCCCAGTCCCGGTGGATACTAGTATCGGCCCGGACGTCTTGATTTCTACACATGCTATTTGTTGATATGTTGTCTCTTCTTTAATTCCGTAAGTTTTGCCAATTACTTCTAGATTCTGACCACCTTTACTGACTGCACGCACTTTTGATTCACCCGAGGAACTTCTAGTGACTTTAACTTTCAGGTATACCACTTTAAAGTCTATATTAGGAAACCAAACTAGTGAAAGTGCAGTGTTGTCCGGGCAATTGCTTGGTTTAAGGCACACTTCATACGAGTATGAATGAGACTTTGCCTTGTAAAATTTGAAATGCGGACTTGACGACGATGACTCCATACAGTCTCTGAATGCTACTGCAACTGGGTACATACACCCACTAGGGTTGCATAATCTACAAACGGCATTTTTCGGGTTTTGTTTGCAGTTCTTGCATGTATCGCTATTTTGAGGCAGGCATCCACTTGTTGATGTTGAATAAAATATTGGACCGTATTCTGGAGCGTTTGTGGCTTTTACTTTGGCCACAGCATCATAGTCTTCTTTCCCCTTTCCGCCTTGGCCAAACTTTTCTATAGTAACCTCAACACCAGCTACGTTCGGTGCACTTCCTCCCAATGATGTTGATGTTTGAAGAGAACCTTCAGCATCAGTTGCCCGGATGTAACCATGAAACTGTCCATTTTGGCAAACGGTCATTATGCAGTTGCCCTCAGACCGCTCCTTTCCTGGTCCTCCATTATATGCGTTTCGACCTGTAGTATACCGGCGTATACCTCCCGTGAAGGCGTTCTGCGAGATAACAGTTGGTTCGAATTTTGATGTTGACAATGGTGACTGGTTAGAGGAGTCAACGTAAGCCCTGACGTTAGCATAACAATAGTCAAGAACTTTTCTGTCGAAGTTAACCCAATAACGGTCTCTGATGACGATATCTCCAATGAAGAAATTATACCGCTGTCGTTTTCTGCGTGATAAATGTGAAAGTGTGGGTGAAACTGGGCGCAGTGGTCCTTCGATAACCCATCTTCCCGTGTCAGTGTTATACGTCCAGAGACTGACATCCGTATAGCTTGCGTTCGTTTCACCGATGAATTCGGCCTCTATTGCGACCTCGACTTTTCCTTTGAGACCCAATGGTTTACCATTGGCATCATTAAAACTCATATGGAATTGTCCTTGGGTGTCCAACTGTTCTACCTCGCCATTTTCATTCACAGACGTTAGATCTCCTGGCATTTCATCAATACTGATGGGATCTCTAGGATCAATGAAGTCCATGGATGCCTTGACCTTTCCTTCATATTTTTCACCGTCATTTGTGTAAAACGAGTCACCAGGGATAAGAAGTTCAGCAACAGGTTCGCCAGAGGAAAGATCTCTTGCCAGGGACATGCTTTGGGGTTGTTTGGAATCGATCTCTACGATATTGGACTTTCTCTTTATCGGAAAATCTTTCAAAAACGTTCCGGAAAAATCCCTCGGAAGATCAAACGCTTTGGATGTTTCGATAAAGTCATCAGATATCAGATTCTCTCGAATCATCACCACTATTCTTGTCATGTGACGTGGTATTTTGAACTCGAATTCACCATCTAAGCCGGTAAACGATACTTTCTCGCCATTCAAAAACACATCGCCATAGATCAACGGACGATTGATGTCCCTGGAGTCATATGCCCTTCCTTTGAAGACCCCTTCAACTGGAAGATATGTTATTGCGGTTGGTTCATTCCCATCCAGACGGTTAACTTGGTTGCATGGAATACATCCACATTCTAGAGTCACTACGACGATCAGTGTGTAGCCATTACAAAACAGCTGGCGGAGTTCTTGTCTGGTTGGACCACAGCAGTACTCCGCTGCGTCTACCATATTGGACGATAAACATGGGTTGCCCTGGCATTTACCTAAATAGATCATTTTATTACTGACTGAAATGTTCTGTATTGATATGGATTCGAGATCGGGTAAAATCTATTTCAATAGTAGTTGACAAACTATGCTGAAAAATCTATTTCAATCTTATGTTGCCAAAGGCGTTGATAGAAATGCGTTCTGGAATGGGGTCTACTGTTTTCAGTGAAACGCTATGTAATTGAATTTATAATTGCATTTCAAGAATGATACATTTTTCACTAAAACTGATATATACTTGAGACATGTTCACTCTGATGCATAGACTCACCGATAGGATACATGACGTCGCCATTTTGTGGACAGTCCTGTGGAAGTTCTTTTAATTCATCCCCAGGATTTGAGTCACAGAAATCATCCAAACTCTCTGAAAATTTCACTATGGTTAGCAATGTCATCTTATTTCATCTCGGTCGTGAGATATTATGAGATGATGAGACTGACATCTTGTAATCGATCGGTATCGATATCTCCAAATCGGGACTAACGGAAAACGTCACCAGTAGGAGAGATTTCCTCAATCCCTTCGTCATTTTAACGTTTGAAATTTGATCATCTTGAACGTCCCCTTCGTTGCCAAGTGTCTTGAATATGCCTCAGAACGCAAAATCAAAATGAGACCTGAAGGTGGTGGAACCAATACATCGGGAAAACATTCAATTGTCACAAATTAACACTCAAAGCTCTTGTTTTTCAATAATGTGTTAACCAATGAGTTTTTTTCAAAATCAAAATATTTCTCAGTTTGACCCCACATTTTAGAAAAGCAAGGTATGGCTGTCAATTTATAACTACGAAATGTTTTTCCGTCCTGGAAAGTGATGAGCGCATTGGCAGGTGAGGAAACACTATGAAACGTCCGCAGAATACCAAATAAAACTGCACCTACCCGTGTACTCTACGAAAATACTCTCCGAGTTTTTACCCCCTGACGTGACAGAAGCAAAATTACTACACAATCACTTGTTGTCAGGTGCAATATTAATATTATTTTCTATAGTAGAAAAATGTATAATAATATCTTCGACAAAATTAGCATTGCTTGGTGGTGACAAATCTCACCTTTAACAATGAGTTGTGCAGAGTCTGACATCATAGAAGAGTAATCATTGTTCGCTCTGCATTTATACATTCCATTGTCGTCTAACTTCACCGACTCTAAGAGGAGAATGTTACTCTTGCCGTAAATACTTTCGTCCAAAAGATTACCATTTTTGAACCTAAAGAAATCGCAAGAATCACGCAAATCACAGTATGTTTGAATTCCCGGAAAATGAAACCCATATATGGCGACAGTTTGCGGTTCTTCATCTCTAGTAGTGTGATTTTTTAGTAGATGATTGGGTCGATGTTGGTATGATTTTGTGATCGAATGGCTTTAAAATGCACATCCTCTCTAAAAAGGAAGAGCGTGTAATGCTATTGGATAAGAAATCAGCTCTACGCTAATGATGATCATTTCCCGACAGAGTAAAGGCTTTTAAATTTTTAACTCACCATTCGAAGTATTCGGGAGATGGTTTACCGGTCGCCTCACACGTAAAATTGATAGTGCCTCCAACTAACGCTACCTTGTCGAATGGCTGTTTATACATTTCAATTGGTTCTGTAACATAGATAAACACATTGCCCATCAGTTGTGACTAGAACTCACGTCATTATAAATTACGCTTCTTTCATGTTCCCTTCTAGGTCTAGAACTGCATAAATGATTAACGAATTTAAGACCAAGACTCATTTGCATTGTTTGCTGAATCATACCATGAAGGTGTTGTTTCCGATCCTTTGCATGACCGCGCAGCGGGAATGCAAAGTTAAGGAAACAACGCCTGGGTGGAATGAAGCAGCTACAATGGATTGACTTGGGGTTAAATTCTTTTCACGCATTGCAATTTTTCTATTGCCTAGCTATGTGTGAATCTATTATTTTGCACATACAATTGGCACATAAGGCACTTGTGGTATCTTCTTATTTAGAGTTCATCTTTTATGTAACAGAGTTCTTCTATAATGCAACTTTTATACATGAATAGGATAAAATATCTCTCAGTATAAATACTAACCCAATACAGCAAGGATAACCATAGATGCGTTGCTAGCTTTGGCTATCGTATCCACATAACCAGCTTTCTTCAAGACAATTGTGTCACTGTTGCACAATCTTTCTACTGTGGTCGTACCATCGTCACCCGTTACAGCCATGACACTATACGCAGTCTCGGCTCTTGCAACAGTCGCTCCATCCAATGGAACCATTCGGGAACTGTAAGCCCCTACGGTTGTTTGGCTCCTTGTACACTCACAGGCGGTACAGTCTTCGTTGCGAACACCATCGACACAGAGAATATTGCAATCTGTAAAGCAGACATACGCCCCCTCCATAAGTTTGGCAACTGGAACTCCGCGTTGGATAGTGAGTTAAACTCGGACTTTGATTGAATCTTAATTCTGTTCTTCGTCAGGTATACTTGGGAGAGTTTATGACTTGATTTTGTTCAAATTGCCAAACATAAACGTGTTTTATACCTCAGTCACATTTGATCAACGGCAACCGTACGGCGGTCGTAGCTTTCAAAAATCACAGCATAATATAGGGACAGTAGTACGATGTAGATTTTCTATATCGATTTTGTGAAGCTACGGCCGCCGTGTGACCACCGTAGAGCAAGTGTGACTGAGACTTATAGCACGTGGTTCAAATGGGGACTTCGGGTTGCCAAACTTTTGAAGGGGAGTGTACTAGATCACATAAGAATGATAAAAACAATAGTTGTTGTACTAAAGTGTCACATATTTATTGTAACTCAATGGTCAACAATTCAGATTAATTAATAAGTAAAATTGAATACCTGGACATTTCCCAGGACTGCATTCTCTTGAAATCGTGAAAAACCCATCGCAATCGATATCAGTGTCTCTTTGTTTCGTACACATTCTCTGGCGGGTCTGGACTCCCTCGCCGCACGTCACAGTACATTCATTCCATGGTTCCCAAGATCCCCACGTCGCATATGTCACTAAACCTGAAATAGAAGGTCTCTTTAATAGCAAAACGAAATCTGTAAATAACATTTATGATTAACAGCACACAACGTCTTTGACCAATAGTGAAATATAACGCGTACAGGGGTCGTTCAAGAAGTTTTGATTATTGCGCCCATTCCCAGACGCCAGGTAAGAGATCAAACTGCCCTGTTACTGAGACCATGTTATATTAAAGTCAGAATAAAGGCATATATATACGCAGACCTATTTAGTGACAGGGAATGTATACATTCACCACCCTTTAGTCCAGGTAGAAGTTATCTAAATAAAATTGTTGGTCTATTATAAAAAGAAGCATTCATACCAGCAGGACCAAGAGTTGTTTTGTCAACACTATTAGTAACATCAGTGCCTCTAGATGCAGTTGCTGAAGGTTGAACTTTTTCCGAAGTTCTCGTCAGTGTTTGTGTTGGTTTTGTTGTATTGATTGTTGAAGGTCGTTTTGTAGTTTTGGTTGTTATTATAGAGTCAGGTCTACTGTGTACTGTTGTGGAAGATTTTACTCCGATCCCAGGGACTTGTGTGCTTTTAGTAGGTCCCCCAAAGTCGGAAGTTCCCGGTTTGTTAGGCTCTCCAGTCGTGGTGTGAAAACGGGTTGACATGTGGTGTCCATCTTGTTCATCGCTATCTGTAATATCAAAACTTAACGAAATATATGCGACTATAAAATATATATAGTATATTGAGGCTTGATTATCTACTTTTAAAATTTCATAATAGAGGTGCTTCGTCAACATCTTTTGTAACAAGAGATTGCTTGTGTGTATACTGATGAAGATACAATACAAATGACGAAGCGACTTCAATTTTAAGAAGTAATTAGGCAATGACATGCATGACTTGTAAAATTATGAAACAACGATTTCGTAGGATGCGATCAAATATGCAAGGAATGTCGATGTTATCAATGAAACAAAAGGACATACCATTTAGATGACTTTTCCCAATTGATATGAATAGTGCCGTGATAGCCATTGTAACTGCAAGGCCAACACCTATTGCGAATAGAGTTCTGGTTCTATTGAGTCTATACAGTGCGCATCGACTTTTCGAAGGGTATGAAGGTGGCGCGTCTCCATATGGCGTAATCTTTGGTAAACTGGGGTGTACTAATGGATTATTGTAGCTTGGAGGAGGGCCTGTGTTTGGACAGCTTTGGAGAGTTTCATAATGGTGTTGATCAGTTGTTTTTGTGTTGTAATTAGGTTTGACGTAGACATCATCACCATCAAAGACAGGGTTTGTGTATATCGCACTCTCTACGTCTGATTTTGACATATTTGATAATTTCTAAAGAAAATCAAGAAGTGGACATCAGCAGATATGATTATGTTCTTCTAATTTGAGTTAATTTCGCATAAATTTACATATGATTATCGATTTATAAAATCCTAGTTACCTATTTTCATGGATTCTTGAAAAAATGTTTGACCAAGAACATTTTTGGTCTATGACGAGGCGTATTAAGTGACCCAAAGGTAAAATGATTATTAACATAATTTGATGACTTCGCTCAGAACTTTATTTTTTATATAAATTGCACATGCTGTTGAGACACAGTACCCTCCAATGATCGGCTGTTTTACAACTAAACGGTGCAATTCCAGTTTTAAAAGGTTAAACGATTTTTTATTTAACTTCCAAAATGTCGCTTATTTTGTGAAATAATATTTTCAGGTGAATTTGAGAAAAAGTTATTTTGATTCTCCAATATTGGCAATAATCAAAATACAAACATTAATATGAGAGACAGGATCCATTTCACTTGTATATACTCTATATCAGAACGTTCTGTACCTCAATCTGGCAAGAGCAAACAATCAAACTTTACCTGTTATTTGGAAGCCTTTAGCGTGTTCGCGTCTTTTTTTACATCTGGGCCTGGGAGATCCATTAAGCCTCATGTAAACATATCAGAGGCAGGCAAGAAAATACAACATTTACTTGAATATAACGAATATATACTCATTCTGGAATAATTTATAGATTTCTCGAGACAAGATTATTGTCCTTCAAACTTCAAAGTTTATTTTCATCGTTTATGGGGGTTTATGGTTGCCACACTAGACGTTACACTTATCTATTGTTAATATTATTTATTGTGACCTTCTCAGATCACGGTCAAAGTAACTACGTTACCAAACTGTTTTGCTAATATAACAGTAATAAAACTGCACAATTTATACCTTTTAATAATGCTGGTGCCTGGTAACATGAAGTTTTGTCTATTTTCTTGTAATGCAATAAGGAAACGAAACTAAGTCTGATCTTACCAGGAAGTCTGATGTCACCAGCAAGTCATGAGAACAAAAGTGAACAATGTCAAAGTCAGGAGAGAAGGTGTAACAAGTGAAAGAGTTTAGTGTAACTTTTAAAAATTGTCAGCATTTTTATCCCACCGAACAAAGTTCGAGGGGAATATAAAGAAACCGTTCACCCATTCGTCCGTACGTCCGTCATTTCATTCGTTCGTTCGTTAATGTTTCGTAAAAATGTAATCTTTAATAACTCAAATACTAGTATATAGATCTAGACAGATTTTGTTCAAATTTGATAGGCTGATGCCTAGGGACAAAGAGAAGCCTAGAAAAGAGATTTTCAAGATGACTGCTGAATTTCAAAATGGCAGCCATTTTCCGTAAAAATACACAATTTTTGATAACTCAAATAACAATGAATGGATTTGATTCACAGTTTCCGCTCTAGAAAGAATTTTCAAGATGGCAGCTGAACTTCAAAATGGCCGCCATTTTTCGTAAAAGAACGTAATCTTTGATAACTAAAATACCAGTGGACAGATTTGGTTGAAATGTATATGCTTATACCCAGAGATAAAGGTCCTCTGCTATAGAATACATTTTCAAGATGACCACTGAATTTCAGTGGACGGACTTGGTTCAAATGCCAAGGGACAAATGAGCTCTGCTTGATAAAAATTATGACATTTGAATTTCAAAATGGCCGCCATTTTTCGTAAAACTTAAATCGTTGATAGCTCAAATGCCAGTGTTCAAATTGTATGTGCAGATGCCAAGAGCAAAATACCCACTATTTATCAAACTGGCCACCATTTGTCGTTAAAAGCCCATGGGTAACCCGGCCAAATACAAGTTGATGGATTTTGTTCATATTTAATATGCTGCCCTGGGACTCTGCTCAAGAAGAACCTTTCAAGATCACAAAATGGCCGAGAATATTCGTAAAACATAATCTTCCATAACTAAAGTCCCTTAAGTAAAGGAATTTTAAAAATGCTTTATTTATTGAAACATCCTGGTCCTGGTCCCATTTGTGAAATCGCTTTGATCGGCATGCCCACATGGGTGAGATTGTCTGACTCCGCCAGCTCGTTCGTTCGTCCGTCTGTCTGGACAATAAACCATATACTGTATTGTATTGTATTATATTGTATTGTATAACATTGTATTGTATTGTTTTTTTTATTTCAATTTGTAACAAACATACATCAAATATTGGTGGAACCCCCCAATGGAATACCACAATCTATGCACACTTTTTCATAATTTATAGCGCAAATGTATAAAATGAAATCCATGCATACGGACTGTGTTGAACAATTTGGTTAAATACTGTTTTGAAACATAATAAGTGGACTGGCTGTCAATCTCATACAGGAATGGCCTGACAACGGTAAAGTCAGATACCGTTGTCACAAATGGCGGACATAACAGTTGCTTCAATTAGATTTTCATGAACTGTATGTTTAATAGAGCACTAGACTAAATTCCTTTGGAACAACAATCAATCAAAGTGTCTTAATACATATTGTACAGTAATAATGTTCTACCATCGAAATAAAGTCTTTAATTTAACCTATCAAAATGAGAAATTATTTCAAATTCAGATTCCGTTGTCATTGACGATATCGAAGACGCTATACTGTGGCGATTCGCGACCCAATTTGATCGAAATTGGGTTTTCATATGATACATCATCACAAGAGCTTAAAACATGCACATAATTAGAAAGCGGTATCTGACTTTACCGTTGTCAGACTATTCCTGTGTGAGACAGCTATCAGAATAAATAAAACCACCTAACCTAAGTACACAATACAAGATAATCGGGAATACTTATCGTATTTGTTTGAAAACTTACAACTTACAATCCCTTGGAGAGAATTTGTGAAATAATATTTGACCATACCCGCGCAAGATAACTTGCATATCAGTAAAATTATCTTGTTGAGAAGGCAACACATTCGAGTTGTTATTTACATGTTGATATGTCATTGTATTGGCTTAAGATTGTACACAGTCCAGCACACGACCGTCAAAAATGATTAAGCAACCAATTTGGCACTATGTGAAATGTCTAGAAGTTATTGGTGCTGTGGTTTTCCTGCCCGGTTGACCGTGTTGTAGAACACCTCCCTTCTGTAGCGTCACTCTTAGTAGCAACATCAGTGAGAGAATCGTGTAATAGTTTGTAATAGAAGCACCGACAAAAAATCTAAAAATGGGTGAATGGAACAATGGATTATTCGGATGTCTTGGAAATTGTGGGATTTGTATTTTCTCCTATTTCCTACCATGTATTCAATTCGGGAAGAACCAAGAAGCGATGGGAAATAGCTGCTGCCTTTGTACATGCGTTTTCTTCGTCCCTGTTTTGAATTGGCTTCAAATGGCAAGCAATCGAGGCGCTATTCGAGAAGCGCAGGGCATAGACGGGGGATTCATATCCGATTGCCTTGTCTCTTTCTTCTGCCCATTCTGTACACTCGCCCAAAATGCTCAGGAAATTGCTGTAATGAATGGTCAAGCTATGGTCAGAAATTAAACAAAGGATGTTGATGATGTTTGAAACAACAATATATATATATATATAGATGTCTTTCTGAAAACCGAAATACGAAACAATGTGATACTCGAAATTGGAACGTTCATAGACTCACTTTAGCGCATCATTACTGGCGATTCTACAACTGATGCCGATAGACACAGACTGGAGCACCACCTTGGATATGACCAACGGGAGACCCAACATGCAGACTTGGAATCATCGGAATTGTTTAGATCGCCGAGTGTGTCGTATGGATGGAATACTAAAAAGGACATGAAGATATACAGTCACAATGAGCTTTCGAACATGGTCACATACTCATTGCGTTCAATCTGCTCATAGTGCAGACGAAGGTGTACATACTCATCAAAGAACTGCTTTTGGAACTATTTCCTTGCATTTGGCTTTATGACAATGTAAATATGATCACAATTACGTATATCTCTAGACAAACATGGACCTTGCCCCACCCACTCCTCGTATGTGTATGAAACAACTAAGGTGTTGATTACTAGGAACGAGGTGGTTGCGCCATTGTGTTCAATCAAACTTGTGTATATTATTGTTCCTAACTTTTCTATCAAATTGTCACGTGTAAGCAGTAATTGAATCTAAGATCTTTATTTGTTTTAAAGCATTCAGTAAAGATTGTAAAATCGCCGTATTCTATGTGAAGAATTCCTTTACTCTGATCTGTATGATGTATAAAATGTAGAATGTATTGTGTACATTATATGAGCCAGGCCACGGGAAAAGGGGTCTTATCACAGATTTTTTCAATATACTGATTTTTTGTTTATCTTAAAAAAGCAAGAGACCTTTCAAATGAGCCATAGTTTGTGTCTTTTGTTTGTGAATTTAGCACATTTTCCTCTAATCCTGGGCACATTTTTGGCTCTGTAGCACAATCTTAATTTTTGTGATAAGACCGGTTTCCCTATGGCCAGGCTCATAATGTAAAACAATTCCTAATAGTGGATAACTAAATGTTTCAAAAATATCATTTTTTACTTAGATTGTGTTTTTGTTCTACAATTCTTTTCTTCATTCTCAACGTGTTCTGGTTAGATCCTTAGATAATGTTCGGATTCGGGAAGTTTGTTTGAGAACTGCAATTCCACAAAACATAATTACAGGGTGTCCAATAAATAAGGTGAAAGATATTGTAACTTTCTTAATATTGCACCAATCTTGGTGAAATTTTCAGAGTTAGTAGATCAAACCTTTTTACCTTTATTCTGTGAATTTAAAGGGTCTTCTATTTGATTGGCCAGAGTTGTGGTTGCTATAGCAACCGAAACAACAAAAAGGCGGGGCAAGTTTGTTTACGTCACAACTTTACAAAACATATTTATTATTTCTGATAGCTTTATTCATACTCCCAGGTCTATTACTACTACAAATACAATATAAAAACAGTCCTAAAGTCCCATTGTAATGGAAAATAAGCTATTCAACATAATGTCCATCTCTAGCTATACACTTATGCCTATTCACTCACTCTCTAAACACACTTTCAAACCCATTCCGTTAAAAAACGTCAAGGAGAGAATTTTCTGATGCACTGTGACAATGCCCCCTCACACACAGCTATGTTCACTAGTGAAACTATTAGGGCACTGGTGCTACCCCTACTTGCACACCCTCCATATTCCCCTTGCACCCGATGACTTTTACTTATATGCAGAACTCAAGCGTGACTCGAGAGGAAATAAATTTGGAAGCACTGATGAACTCAGATCACATGCCTTAGCAAGACTTCAGGAAATGGACAAGAATGGGTTTGAACGTGTGTTTAGAGAGTGGGTGAATAGGCATAAGAAGTGTATAGCTAGAGATGGACATTATGTTGAATAGCTTATTTTCATAACAATGGGACTTTAGGACTGTTTTTATATTGTATTTATGGTAGTAATAGACCTGAATAAAGCTATCAGAAAGAATAAATATGTTTTGGAAAGTTGTGACGTAAACAAACTTGCCCCGCCTTTTTGTTGTTTCGGTTGCTATAGCAACCACAACTCTGGCCAATCAAATAGAAGACG